GTTTTTGAAATTTTAAATTTATTTCCTAGGTTTCACTGTGTGTAGAATTTATTGGTGTACTCCAAATTTTTTAAAACTCAACGGTTAATTTTCAATACTGAAATTAGACACATTTTTTCACTTAAATTTCTACAGGTTAATTTTCATTCTTTTTTGACATTTTAAATTTTTTTCCTACACTTCAATACATGCACAAAATGATGGTAAAAATCATTTTGCATCAAAATGAAAACTACATCTTGAATACTGCATTTGACACCGTTTTTTTTGTTTAATTCTTCACTTTTTCACTTAATTCTTTGCATTAATTATTTTACCTTTTTTTTATGCTTTTTTGAAATTTCAAAGTTTTTTCCTACATTTAGAAGTGTTTAGAATTTAATGGTAACCTTCAATTTGCATAAAACTCAATGGTTCATTCTGAATACTGTAATTAGTCATATTTTTCAATTGATTTTTAAGAGCTTAATTTTCATAATTTTTTTACATTCTAAATTTGTTTCCCACACTTTGAGACATGCTCAAAATGATGGTAACAATCACTTTGCATAAAAATGAAAACTATATCTTGAATACAAATATAAATTCAAAAATTCAAAAATGACTTCAATAGGGCTTGAACCTGTGACAGCGCTTGGAAGTACAAGTATTCCCAAAATGGTAGCTTTATACCAAGTTTTATTTATAAACTAGTTGGCTGGCATCACCTCGTTGGATAGTGTCGTGGTGTCCAGGCTGATCATAATCTTGACTAGAGTCTGCCTTGTGCATGGGAATCTGGAGAAATGGTTGGTGTATCCCTTTCCGATGATTGGGAGTGTTCTTTTTTGGAGTTTTTTAATTTTTGGGAGACATTTGAATCAAATTCTCCTTTTATTGTATTAAAACCTACGAAATAAAGAACTAAATAAAAAAACGGTGTCAAATGCAGTATATAAGATGTAGTTTTCATTTTGATGCAAAATGATTGTTACCATCATTTTTTGCATGTATTAAAGTGTAGGAAAAAAATTTAAAATGTCAAAAAAGAATGAAAATTAACCTGTCGAAATTTAAGTGAAAAAATGTGTCTAATTTCAGTATTGAAAATTAACCGTTGAGTTTTAAAAAATTTGGAGTACACCATTAAATTCTACGCACAGTGAAACCTAGGAAATAAATTTAAAATTTCCAAAAAACATAAAAAATAAGGTACATACATGCATGCAAACAAATAATTGAAAAATGAGTGGAAAAAAAAAATTAATAATCAAAAGTCATTTTTATGACAAATGGTTTTTACCGTTAAATTCTACACGCTTTAAAACATAGGAAACAATTTTAAAAATTCAAAAAAACTCGAAAATTAAGCGGTAAAAAATTAAATAAAAAACCGCGTGCAAACGCGGAAACCACTCTCTTAGTAAATGTGCAACACACATAACAGCCTTCCACTTGCAGCATGAACTTATTTGTGATAAAAAAGTGAGCATCACAGGAAGGCAGAAGGGTAGATTTTGGATAGATAGACTAACAATCCTTACTATCAGGACAAGAATTTCCAGGCCCTGAGATATTATCCATTTGGATTAGGCTTATAGAGGTTGCCTTAGCTAGTAGTAGTTTAAAAATGGATTTGGATGAATTTGAAAGATTTCCAATGAGGTTGGGGGTTGTCTCGCTCAATCAAAGAATGCTAGGAGCACATATAACTATCTTGAGATCCAGTTTGCTATCACAAAGCATTGTTTGGCCATTCATTTGCAAGGAGGCCCTGCTATTCTCCACTGTGTCAGCCGTTGAAATTTGATAGTGATCTGTTGATTATGTTTCTTTGTTTGCATAGAAACAAAAGACCATTTAATTTCCAAGTTCAGATATCCATTGGAACACAACATCATCAGAAAACTTACGGTTGCATCATGTATGTCATCAAACCTTGACCAAATCATCAATCGTGTAATTATGGCATCAGGAATAGAAAGATTCAACAGAATCACACCTGCCTTAAAGCATAAAGATTAACATCAAAAGCACTATTTGTCAATGTCCATTCATCATGAATTGGGTCCCCTCATGACTCATGTTACTACATAAATCATCAATGAAACACATCATGCTTGTGAGCAAACACAAGCCAAACATGAGTCATGTCACTACAGTGGAAATATTCAAAACCAATCAAAAATCACAGTAAAATCACCTGAGTAGCCTTTGTCAGCAACAATTAAAAAAATTCAACCAAATTTCCCTGCCAGAATCCAATTGAGATTGTTTGATTGTATTTGTCAGAAGAGTAAAGGGGAAATAGACAGAGCAAAACCAACCCAAACATCTGACAATACAAGCACAACGTAAACCAACAAGATTTTTAATGCAGTTCAAAAAAGATGGAAACAAACATGAAAATAGAAAGAAAGGGGGGATCATGATTTGGTTAACACTCGATCAATAAACTGTAGGTGATAAGCTGGAAACCAGAGGTATGTCAACTCAACCAAATAATAAGAAAAGTTCAGCTTACCAAGCTGGAAAATATTCAGAAAAGAATGATTTCCACTTTTCTTGGATCCAAGGAATACACATTCAATCAATAGTGAGCTTCAAATAAAAAATCAAATTATTAGACTTTTCAACTTAAATACTATTCGGTTCAAATCTTCAGAAATACTTCCAGGAACCATAGTCAGTCTACACAAAGTTAAAGGGGATCCTTGGTCAATCATCCCTAATACCGATCAAGTTACCTTCTGGGGTTATATAAAAATCAATGAATCAGTACGCAAAATTCTTCATCTTGATTGGTATACTTCTAACATATTTCCAAATTCTTAGTCTTGGTTCTGTAAAATCAATGAGGTAGTGTTGAGTCACTGCTTTGTTTCTGGACAACAGTGCAATGGATGGAATACGTGCTCTCTTGGACTTGTTCCTACTTGGATCAGCAAGCAGTGTGAGCTTGAGCAGGGTAAAATTTACACAATTGGTGGAAATGTTACTTCAGAACCTACCGGTGTGAGAACTCATTTGGGATGGATGGCAGTCCTGTGAGGGGGAAATAGCAGATGAGATACTGCGCTTGTTTGATATATATTGTTACGGGTGGTTTGAAAGACCTGCCCCTCTATTGTACTACACAAGAATTTCTGACAACAAAAAATTATATATTGATGTGCCAAAACCTTTGTAGAGAAACCTTTATGTAGTAGTCTCTATCAGACCTAGATCAATTTGATATACATGAAATTCTATGAGACAAGCTATCTAAGAATCTGATT